TTACAAACATCAACTAAATATTATTTTACAAACTTGCTAATTTTGTTTTTATCTTTAAGATATACATATTTTTGTAACATCTTTTCCCAAATAATATTTTCATTAAAATATATCAAACTATTAAATAAATAAATAATATTAATTTAGTCTTATTAATGCAACGATTAAAATTTTGAAAAATTAATTCTTTTTAAAGAGGTATAATTTCTGATAATTGGTAGTTAGGACTGGTTATGACCTTAAAAAAGGTTTTCAATTTCTTTTTTGCATTATTTCAACTGACTGCTTTTCTTAATAAAAACAATAAAGCCGTTTTTTTTAAAGAGAATCGTGGTATGCGAATACCTGGGCCTGAATCTTTCTATCGTCTTTTTTTCCAGCAGCAAAACGTCTAATTTCCTTCTACAGTAGGGAAGTGCTAATTACGTCACAAGGAAAAGTCCTCATTCCTCCCTACGCTTTAATGGGCCGCTGGAAAAATCACAATTAGCAGTAAAAATTGAGCGAATTGAGAAATAAAAAAACGAGTCGTGTCGTAATAACAATTGCACGCCGGCACATAAAAGTAAACGACTAGTTCGCTGCCGACCAACCTTTGCTCGACCCAGCAATAATGACATTTTTTGCCGAGCGTCCGTGCAGATAAGGCGCACTGTAGTACGTACAGAAAAAAGTAATTTCGCCTAAACCGTCGGAGCAGAAGCAGACCACGCTAAAGTGTTATTCTTTTTTTACCCGAAATTCACGCGAGAGGTAAAAATTGCGATTTGAGCGCGATGATGACGAGATTCTCGCAGCAAAGGAGATGCTTGTGTGGAGCTCAAATTTTATTTGCTTTATCCCTTGTGTGTTTACCGTTTGACCCTTGCGTGGTGGACACTGGGAAAGGCGCGCCGTAGGAGATCCGTCAAATTGAATTTGCCAAACTTCCTCCCTTTTCTCAGAGAAAGTGGTTCGGAGGGAAAGAAATAGAGCAGATATCATAGAAGGCTATTTTATAGGATAACGTTCAAAATCGGTACGCAGCGGAAAATGTGCTTTCCTTAGTATCAACAAATAATTTTATATTTTTCATTTTTCATCGCTTGAATTCAAATTTTTTTATGTGTATGTGAAATAATCTTTGAGTTATAATACATAATATCACTTTATCCTAGAGATTGAGTTGGAATTAACCCTTACAAGCAAAGTATCCCAACTAGCAAAAATTGATCTTAATGAAAATTGGCAAGGAGGTAGGGTTGACCTTCAGGAACAACGTGTCGAAGTTCATTAGTCGCGATCTAGCATGGTTCGGCCTACAGAGCCGCCGAAAGTTGCCGATTTTTGCGTATGCAACCCGCTCCACGTCCCCACCGCCGCGCTCTCTTCTGCACGCTGCTGATAGAGCGGCAGGCGGAGAGGCGAGAGCAGCGCGAGAGGGGCTCGCTCGCACAACGCATGGCGAGTATAGCGATTTTGATTAACTTTGAATCGCTGTCAAAATTCAACGGCTGCTCGTACTTGAAAAATTCCAACGCCATAATTAAATATGGTCCTTTGAAAACAACACCCTTAATTATCATATTAATCCGTCGACGTTTTGTATTGTTTTCTGGCCACCAAACACGTGACCAAATGAATAAATCCTGAAAAAATAAAAATTCCAAAATAATAGTAAACCGTGGAATATTTTGATGAAAATTTACAAATTGGTTTAATTCAATATAGGCAATATATTTCCAAGGTCAAAATACTTTATTTTCACTCCACATTAGTTTTACATAAGGGTTTGTGTTGAGAGCTGTATCTCGGTAATTACTGGACCAAATTTCAAAACATAAAATTTAAAATGATTGCGAAGAACTGTTCTTTTTGGTTATTTTAAGCAAAAAAATCTAAAAAATTTAAATATCATCAAAAAATTATAATTTTTGAAAAAATTCCATAAATTTTATGCTTGTAATTTTTATAAATTTTTTTGCTTAATATAACCAAAAAGAACAGTTCTTCGCGATCATTTTAAATTTTATGTTTTGAAATTTGGTCCAGTAATTACCGAGATACAGCTCTCAACACAAACCCTTATGTAAAACTAATGTGGAGTGAAAATAAAGTATTTTGACCTTGGAAATATATTGCCTATATTGAATTAAACCAATTTGTAAATTTTCATCAAAATATTCCACGGTTTACTATTATTTTGGAATTTTTATTTTTTCAGGATTTATTCATTTGGTCACGTGTTTGGTGGCCAGAAAACAATACAAAACGTCGACGGATTAATATGATAATTAAGGGTGTTGTTTTCAAAGGACCATATTTAATTATGGCGTTGAAATTTTTCAAGTACGAGCAGCCGTTGAATTTTGACAGCGATTCAAAGTTAATCAAAATCGCTATACTCGCCATGCGTTGTGCGAGCGAGCCCCTCTCGCGCTGCTCTCGCCTCTCCGCCTGCCGCTCTATCAGCAGCGTGCAGAAGAGAGCGCGGCGGTGGGGACGTGGAGCGGGTTGCATACGCAAAAATCGGCAACTTTCGGCGGCTCTGTAGGCCGAACCATGCTAGATCGCGACTAATGAACTTCGACACGTTGTTCCTGAAGGTCAACCCTACCTCCATGCCAATTTTCATTAAGATCAATTTTTGCTAGTTGGGATACTTTGCTTGTTAGAGTGTTATTTCATTTCCTGAATCTCAAACATATTTTATATAAAAAATTATTATGAAAATTAATTAACAAAAATCTTTAAAAGTAATGTTGGTCAAAATTTACAACACTCATTATTGAAAAATTACCAAAAAATCTATAAAATATTTTTTAATTTTTTATTATTATAAAAATGACTAATATTATAAATACAAGGGAATAATAAAAGTGTTTAGTAAATTTAATAAACTTTTGTATTTTTTAAACTTGTTTTTTTTATAACAAAATTTGTTTTTGATATTTATTTGATCATGAAGCATGAGATTTTTCAACTTGAATAAAAAACATATTTTTTTACACTATGTCTTAGTATTTATCGTATTTATTTTCATTTTATGCACGGCTTCTCAAATGCCCATTTTTGATCTCCTACTTAAATAATGTAGAAATAAAACAACCACCAGAGCACATAATTATTCATTACCAATTTTCTAGATCCACAGGTTTTTTTTCTCAATTTTTTATTTAGGCGGTGTCTGGACGCAATCCGAAGGCAGATCACACACTTTGCAAAATCCCATTTCATCCGCGGAAAATGGGCTGTTGTACGCGCACGTAGGCGAATAATAAAAATACCTGTCGTGCGACGACGATTTAGCTAAAAAAAGAAAGGGAAAAAATAAAATATATTTTTCCCGGGGCGCAATCCCTCTTCCGGCGGCTGAAAACGGCGCACACCAGGAAAGATAGATGGATATGCGTGTGTTTTGCGGGCCAGCATCAAACACACACGCACGAAATTGATATTCCCGAGACGAGAAGGGAAGATCGAGGAAGGGAAAAGAGACGCGGCAGGTATATCGGGCGGAGTGAGTTGCGATTCGCCTCACGCGCCCAAGGTGGCATTATCCCATCCGGCTCGGCGGGGAAACTGATTACCCTTCCAATGCTGCTGCTGCTGGCTCGAATTAATTATGTTGTGTGTTGTGCAGCCTCTTCGCTCTCGCTCTACTTACAAGCAGTGGCAATAATGGGCCTAATTTCGCCGGCAGGAGATAAATCACGCGCACGTGGCGCCGCCGTAAGTCGGATAATGGACTTTGCTGAGCCCGCCCGAATTATTATCTCTTGAGAAATTTAAATTAACGTGTGCAAGGGCGAGACACTTGGTTATCTGCCGCCGTATTATCATAATTGAGCGTGTCACAAGTTTCGTATAACACACCGGATGATGCATTTCTCCCGACAATGGCCCGCCTGGCCACCCATTGTTTCATTGTAATTAAAATTCTCCGGCTTTCCAGACGACTTTGCTGCTCGAAGAACGCACTGACGTTTATTAAAATTACCTAAGTGTGAAATGGAGCGCTAGTGGCTCTTGTTACGCGTCTCGAATTTATCCTCTCGCTGGAACTCGCTTGAGAAACACGAGGGCTACAAATTTATGTACTTTTGTGACATGTAATTTATATTTAATGCACCTTTACAATTAATTTTTGCCTCTAAATAATACTTTACACAATTGAATTGAATTAAAAAAATTGGTGCAAAAATTTATTTTTAATATATGACATTGTTTAAAAAATATTTTTAGCATAATATAATCTGTTTTGAAGAAGTTGACACTCGATCATGGAAATGAAATGATGAACAAGGAGAACCTCTTTCTGCAATTAAAAATAATTTTTATTAAAATTTCACAATCACGTTGGAATTCATAATTAATTTTAACACGATAGTTGAATTAATTTTTAAAGCAACCAGCCAGTGCATATGCAGAAGTTCCAAACCCAAAAATCTAGTCTGGAATATTCTTGATATGTACCCAGACTAACAACCCCTCCATCGACGTCATCATCACGCAATTAGCCCGAGTTAAAAGTTGCTGAGGCCATAACGCTTTAGAGCAATAATGACCGGCGGGCAGACTGCTTTGGAGTGAGGGCATAAAACCACCCCTGCTAGAAGCGGCGAAATTTAATTAGATTACACACCATTCAAAAATGCATTTTGCGCACAGCTCCCTATTATTCTCATCAGCCAAAATTTACTCGAAAATTTTCTCTAATTTGGACGAAACTGTTTTAATGCGAAAAGAGAGGACTAAAAACAACAACGGGGTTACGCTTTTTGTCACGACGGCGAAATTGAGTCCTAAATTTCTCAGGGGAGTTTTATTGTGCGTGTGTCGGTGTTTGAGGGGGTGGGGGGTGTCAACAAGGGCGCGCTTTGTACTTTATTACGCACCACCCAAAAGCACACCAACATGCGGCCTTTTTTAATTTTTAGGGCCAAAAAAACCATCCTTGTTTTATACGCAGTGCGCGAAAAAAAAATCGGAGAGTAATTTTTTGTACTTTTGTGTTGCAGCACCTTTGGACACCATGGTCAGCGTCACTCCCGCACCCATGCTCCCTGCCAATAACGATGACCCCGACTTCAGACACGCCATCAAAAACGTGACCGTCCCTGTCGGCAGGGAGGCAATTCTAGCCTGCTCTGTCACAGAACTTGGGCATTATAAGGTAAAAATAATGTAGTATATAGATCATTTTAATGAAGCTTGTTTTTTAACGTCATTGATTGTTTTAATAAAATATATGTTATTTTAATTTAATTTCTAAAATTAATATGTGCTATTAATATTTTCATTTTAATCTTTTGTTTAATATTTATAAATTATCTACTATAAAAATAAGTTGTTTCAGAAAAATAATTTGAAAATTTGCAAGAACTAAAATTTATAACACACTATTATGAATAGAATATATTTCAATTTCAATTTTTTTATTTTTATAATCTTTCCTAATGTTGTACCTATGATTGAAAATTAGAAAAATCTGTATCACAAATAAGTTTTTGCAATTAATTTCTATTATGAAGTATAATATATTTAATTTCAACTGATAGCTTTTTTATTATTCTATGAAATTTGCGTTGTACATTTCTCCCATTTTTTATTTGTGCAAAAGGATCAAAATATAAAATGTCACGTTCTGTAATTTACATTTTAACAGAAGTCGGAGGAATAGCAAATAAGTAACCGACGATTTGCCTCCCCTGCACCGAATCTCGTGTATTCATTTGAATAAAAAGCTAATTTCGATTATAATTGGACGCGGCGAATTTTGTAGGCCATTAATTCAGCAGGGAAGAATAAAATTTCCGATGGCTCCCTTATCAATTGAGTTTCTCGAGAGCTCGCTGCATAAATTCCTCGTTCGCAGAGTGCACGCCATATGCCGACATTATGTGCATACTAATTCCGAGGGTCTCTCCAGAGTCTTTTAAGGGATCGTAAAATTGTTCGAAAAAGTTACTGAATGCAGCAGTCGCAGTGCTCTTCTCTCGCACCCAGCCAGATAAATTTGGCCTCAATTATGAAAGAGGGCGAGAGAAATTTTTGGCACTCTCGCGTGTCTTGAAAGCGGTTGCGGTCGTAAAAGTTGGAGCGCGCCGAAAATTGCCTTCCCGCGTATGGAAATTCCGCGCTTGCTTTAAACCAGAGGATTTTAAAATAGCGTGCACCTCACTTAATCTTGTTTGTGCCAGCTGAGAGTTAAGAGAGATAGAAGTGTGGAAACTTTGACTTCTAGTTATCCTCAACTTTTAGTAAGTAGATAACTTTATTCAATATAAAAAAACAAAAAATTAAAAACAAAAATAATAAAAACTTCAAACGGAACAAACAAATCAGATTTCTACAATATAAATCATATTTTGATTTTCAGTCAAGTTTTGATTCTCATGGTTAGCTTAAAAAAATTGTTAAATCTGTACACTCATCAAAGCTGATTGTTAAATCTTCAATTTCTTTGTAAATGGTGGTTAAAAAAAAATTAGAGTTATTGATTTGCCTGGAGAACAAGTATGTTTTATATTTGTATTTTGCTAGCTATGATGTTTTAACACAGAACTTTGTATTGTGTCTTTGATCTGTTTTGAAAAAACAAAAAATATAAGTACCTTACTTAGTTTGGATTTTTCTTAAAACATTTTCTTAAATTTTTTTGAGTATTTTGTGGCTTTCAAAAGTAATGTTGTTAATTTATAATAACTATTTGCTTTTCCGAGTTTAACTTTTAACTAAATCATTCACCTCCATTGGTCTTTGTTAGCAATTGAAACGGGAAACGCCAAATTAACTTGAATGTATTTCTTCCATCGCTCCTATTTCCTCTCTTCAAGAGCGGCAGTTGATGTTAAAATCAAGAGCTCCGTTTCAAAGTCACCAATTGAATTGAGCGAATTGGCACCCTGCTCACTTTCCCGCCCTTAGAAGCCTGTGCTATCAAAGACTTTCTTTTCTCTCATTGGACTGTTAATAAACACGAGACGTATAGTAACGATATTCACTTCCCAGAACTGAAAGGGCCCCGTCGTCTCGAGTTGCCGCTAATTATAATCAGCCACTTGATACATCGAGGGCGCCCAATAAGCCGATAACTGATGGTTATTCTTCAGGCAGGCACGCTTCCAACTCGGGGTTGCAATTAGCGTCACACGCGAGAGAAATTCCGGCCTGCAGCCAGCCATAAAAATGTTTTGGCAGAGCATCCCTTCTTGGCGGAGGAGGCGGCAATTCTACCAAATTGCCGGATGATAGCTCTGCAGGCACGCCCGTCCGCAGCTCCAAACTGCTTTTGTTGCTTTTTATATTGGCACTTAAAAATTAGAAGAACATTACGCCCCATCATCTCCGCACAAGGCCCATCCAGCGAACCATCATAAACGAAAGGCTCAATTGAAATACGGCTTTCTACGCTTTAGGCTCTGCAGTGCTAATATTGACAAAAAAACTGATAAATTATTTACTGCCACGAATAAAAAATCCACATTAAATTGATATTTATATTTAATTTAATTAGAATTAAATTTTCTTTTTGTTTTGACTTTAGGTTGGTTGGATGCGAGCAGAGGACCAGACCATCCTTACACTGCACACCAAGGTGGTGACGCACAACTCTCGCATCTCCGTGACCCACGACAACCAGCGCACGTGGAACCTGCACATCCGGCAAGTGAAGGAGGCCGACCGCGGCTGTTACATGTGCCAAATCAACACCAGCGTGATGAAGAAGCAAATCGGCTGTGTCGACGTGCACGGTGAGTGAGATAAAAAAAATCGACCAAAATAATCACAGGCGTGGTTGATTGCTCTCCGGGCTAATTAAAACTCGCGCTTTGCAATTTTAATCAACACGTCGTCGCGCAGGTGCAATTTCCCCATCAAACGACGCGCAGACCCCTTTATTTATTGACTCGACGAAATCGGGTACTTGGTACACTCACCGGCACACTGAATTATTCCATTAACGTTATTGCGCCCACTATGACAGCCACGCACACGTGTGTAGGTGTAGCAATTACGAATATGGCCAATGAAGTTGCTGCTAATTGCGCGCCACGCGGCGTGCTGCAATTTGATGGTGTGTTTGGAACTGAATTTGGTAGGCGGGCAGAAATTGAACAAACACTCAATGTAAACGATAAAGTAGATAATCAGCAATTTTAGTCTTGATTCAGTGATTCGGTATCAAGTTTAAATATGTCTTTTGCAAACGAAATAAAAACTTTAATTTTTTACATTTGTATAAAAAATATAAAAATATCTTTATGTAAATACATAATAATTTATTAAATTGTTCGTAACGATCATGATCAATTATTGTGCCATGTTAAAAAAAAATTATATAATCTTTTTCCCTTCACAAGATTTTGGCAATGTAGTGGAATTTTGCGATTTGTCAATTCTGTAGATTAAAATAATATTTTTGAAGTGGCTAAACTTCTTTAAAATCACAAGGTTTCCGAAAGCAAAATAATTATAATTTCTTTGGAAGTTACTACTTCTGCCTAAAATAGGCTTTCTAGGTTAGCTCAGAAATGAACTTTTCAAAAAAATTTTATTTTTAAATCGCCTTTTTTTCTTTAAAGATCCTTCTTTACCAGTCAAGCCTACCTAAATTAAAGAAAATTTTCAATCCACCTTTTTGGCCAAGATAAAATCCTGAACAAATAAATAAGACTTGAGTATGTAGAGTTTTTTTCAGGTTTGTTGAAATGCGTTGAAATAAATTAAATGATATAAATATTTTATTCTATGAATACATAAAGTTTATTTTTAAACAAATCATCCATGGAAATGAAATTTGATATTTGTCTAATGATTACTGATTTGTGCTCATAATTCTACTCTTAGATCAGATCTGATCTGAACATATTCAATTACCAGCAGCAAATATATGCTTCTTGTTTTACCTAAACTAACTCCTGTTCAACCCATGCAGACAAATACAAATGAAATTATAATTAAACTGTTTCGCCGAAATGCGTTTTTGCTAGAGTGCAGGTTCGGGCCAACGGGCAATATACAAAGTCAGCTGGAATGCAAATAAGTCGTTTCGCAATCACAAAGCGAAGTCCGGTGGAACGTGCAGAAATCACCAATCAGCAGGCGACTCGCACACACACGACCCTAAAAGACTGAATCAATGCACTCAACAAAACTCGCACGTTGACTCCGGCAGCAAATTAATTGCGCTTTTTAATTCTGAGCAAAGCACGTACTGCTTCAGCCCAATTAAAAACGTCCTCCAGCAGCGCAGTCTTTGAGTCTTAATTTGTCCCCGCCACCAACGCGCGGCGACGCGACTTCATTTGATCTCGCCGCTCGCCGCCAATCAACCTCTTGCATTATTAATTCGCTCCGCAAATGTCTGCAAATTGGTTGGGAAATAATAAAATATTCACGTTCAGAGAAACACGGTTCTGTCAAACGAAGAAAACTAATTTATTTTGCGCCCTGAAATCGATATTGGCTGCTGGAGGGTGACGATGATCTTGGCCTTTTGTTGTCGACGCGCGTAATTTCCAGCCGATGGTGATCAAAAGCCCTAGAGGGTGATTTACGCGCCCTCGTTTTTTCTCTGAAAAGGCAATATCAGAGCGAATGGAAAAAGTACGAGAAGCGCCAGTTAATAAATACACACCTTGCTCCGTCTTCTCACCTGACTTATTATTACGCCGTTAGGCATGCTAATTTCGAGGCAACAACACGCGCCGTAATAATAAACACACGGCCCGGAGCGCAATTAAAATTTAATGGCTTCATTTAAAAAGCGTTGCAGGCCCTTAAACGAGAGAAAAAGAGCGGTTGTTTGAGGAAAAGGCGGAAAATTTTTGGAGCGACGAGGCTTTGAGCTGTTTTTAACACGCGATGGAGAGTAATTATGAGCTAAATAATTACAAACCGGAATATTTAGTTTCAGGAAAAGAAAAATATAATTTAAGAAAATTCTTAATGATATTTGATTGTGAGAAGAAAAAATACATACATATTTTGTTATTTTGACAGATACCAACGTAGGCAATAGTTATTTTTTTTTTCTGAAAATATAGATGCACAAAATGATTTATTTAAATCGTTAATCAAGTAGTGTTAATTGAGTGCAACAAAATTATATTAGTTCATAATATTTAGATTACAACGGAACGCATCAACTTAGTGCATGTTTAATTTGGTATTATTATGATATTAAATTTTTCACTTATACAAAATATTTATAAATAAACATTGAAAAGTAATGCGCGAGAGACATATCCGCCATTACTTTGAATGCTGACCTATTAAAAATACATAAAAATTAAAATAACCGAAAAAAAATTATTTAATAAAAATTTAATCATTAAAATTTAAAAATACAAACAAACTATATTATAAATTATTTAAATTATAGTAAAAAGATTATTTAGCTTGTGTTACTATTAATATATTCTTTAATTTTCTTTTCTCTTAGAGAGCAAAATATATTTGTATTCTTTTGGTTTTCTAAGCAGATACAGTCTTTGAATCATTATTATCATTATCATATTATACACTTCAGCAACAAGCACACTGCGTACGACCAGCAGCAGCAATTTGGTTGCTTGTTTGTAAAGGGCTAGGTGTGCAGTAATGAATATTTGCGCTAGACTCGTGCACATAGCGGAATTTCATCTCTGCGCTTGTTTACTTTTGGAATCCCGAGTCGTTTTCTTGCTCAAAGGAAACGCGACGGGTGGCCGCGGCTGCCCTCCTGAGAGTAATTAAGGGATTGTTTGGCGGCGGCACCACTAAATTCCTTAATTAATAAGCCAAACTTTGCTTCTGCACCAAGTTATTGTGTGGCAAGAAGGCAGGCGAGCAAGACAAGGGCAGAATTCGCCTCCCGCCGTAATTGAGGTTTCCCTCCTAACACAGACAATCAACAGAAACTCTAGGTGAATCACGTTTATTGGGTTCTGTCTGTCTTTTTGCTGTTCCGGTGTGGGATCTAAAGCTTGCTGCTTAAGTTCAATTAATTACCGCGCAAAAACGAAATCACAAAATAATCAAGATGAAGTTCAGAAAAAAATGAAAGATAGAAAATTTCTGTTAAATGAGGTAAGATTAATTTTCTAAAAAAAAGTTCGTCCTCCAGAACTGAAATGAATATTACATTAAATGGAAAAAAATACAGTTTAAATTAAATAAGGTAATGGCACCTTTTGAAATTTTCAATTGATTTTAGCCCCTGAAGAGAGACGGAGGAAATTTTTTCGCTTTAAGAATAAAAATTCAAGTCTTAAATCAATCTCTAGGAAATTGAGAGAAATAAAAATTATTTCTTATTTTAAGGTATTTTTTTTTTCAATTTTTTCCTTCATCAAAAAAGAATAATATAAGCCCGATCTCTGCCTCTCGAGAGTTTAATCTCCTTCCACATGAAATCGGCTTTGCCTGGGAAATTTATTAGCAATATTGCTGTCTGGCTTCGGCTTTGAATTCTAATCTAATCAGCTTATCCGTTTCATTCCGTCGGTGACCCACATCGTCTCTCTTTCGAATGCAAATAATTCTCCTCGCGAAGCCGCAGATGTGAGTCGCTGGTTCGCCTTGCCGGACCAACCGGCCCTCTTTTTCCATCAAGCCGCGCGTGATAAACAATCGGCACCACCGGTGTTAATAACAATTTATAACCGGTGCGCGCGTTAGAACGTGAAATGGGAGAGCGGATTTAGAGGGGCGTGAAAACGGCTCGGCAGGGGCAGCTGGGGTCAATTGATGGCCCGATGTGTTACAATTTCTGCGAGTGTGTCGCCTTCGACCGCTTTTTATCCGGCCATCTCTCCTGCTGTCTACGAGATTTCTATTTTATTCTCCGGCCAGGCACACACACACATGCACACGCACAGGCTCATATCCGACAAAGGACCAAATCCTTTGGCAATAACGAGATTGAGTGGGATTTACGGGTCGTCCACTTTAGTCTGGAGTGTGCAAATGGGTCCGCCTGCTGCTCAAAACTGTTCCTTACTACAAATTTATTTTTCGCACTGCCACGTATAAGGTATAATTTTGGGGAATAGCAGATATTTTTTTCAATTTATTTTGTTGCAGCAAAACCCCATTTGATGTAATAATTTTACTCCCCCTTTTCAACATTTATCTAATACTTCAATCAAAAGGGGAGATCTAATGAAACAACCAATGAATGGCCTTATTTAGTTGGAATTTGACCTAATCTTTAGTTTTAATTTTTGATAACAGATATTCAACCGTTCAAATTGTGAATTACTTGAAAATTCATAAAATTTGTCACATAAATATTATTAACTAAGTTTTGTATTGAACAAAAATTTTTAAACCAATCTTATTTTGAATGCTTCAATTTAAAACATTAAATGAGTTGTACTTGAATTTTTTGCTTACGATCCCAAACTCTGATCAGAACTATTTTTACTAGGAAAGCAAAAAGAGGCGCCCAGTATAAGATCTATTGGACTGAGTACGCGGCTAATGGAATAATAAATCAATACTCCAGTTGGACGAAAAATATTATTACATTGCGCGCGTTCTGTTTTCCGTCGGTATAATAACGTTTTCCTTTTTTATTTTTGTCGAGCCAGGCTGGTCGGCTCAAAAGAAGAGACGCGGAACGCGATTTGCCGAGAAGAAAAGACAGTCGGCATTGTGCGTGAGCAACACACCAGAATTTATAGTCTCTCGCGTCGGGTGAAATTGAAATTCTGATACGGTTTTATGGTTTGCTGCTCATGACTTGTGCCTGCTTTGAAGGATCGAG